AAAGGATTACAGTTTCAAAATGCTGTTCCAATGAGTTTGTCCCAGTCTCTGCTGTTTATTTCATTGTGTTGTTGACTACTTTTTTAAAAAAATTTTCTTATAACTTCTTTAAGTCTTTCCTGAAAGTATGAAAATGAAGAGTAGACAATGTAAAGAAAAATCAAAAAATACCCTCAAATAAATGAAGAAAAGAGTCAGGCAGGATGAGGAATAGAAATAAGAGAGGGAAAATGAAAGAGGACAGGCTATCAGGCTAGAACACATGATGAATAATTGTGAGGTGCCAGCTGGAACCAGAGTGGAAGTCTCAAGGAAACACCAACTCCATATGAAAATGTCCTACAATTAGATATTTCCTAAAAGAAATGGAGAGATTGATAAACTTGTCTACTTGTTTAATCCAACTAGCTTAGCAAGCAGTATATAGCTAGGCACTTTCTACATTAATGAAAAGTTTTAAGTAGCATATAAGATCTATTCAAATATTATTTAGAATTCACAGTCACAAACATGTATAGGAGTGTATTGATACTCCTCCAACTTTCCTACCTAAATATTTACATATATTACATAAACATATATATGTATATGTATGTATACTCATACATATATTCAAACACACAAACAGAACACATATGTACACTTACAATCACACTTGCAGATATACACATACACACACAATATATATATACAAGCAAGCACATGTGCACACATTCAAATGAATAAATATTAGTATCAGCAGTATGATAAATAGATAAATAGGAATTAACAATTTTCAATATGATTTTAAAAATGCCATCATACTTTTACATTAAAACTGTATTTTAGAGTTAATACACATAATATATATGTATACAATCACACGAGACACGTTATAAATCTGGAGAAAATTCTCAGCAAAACATGTTTGTAATTATCCATAGTGTGATTTTAAACATGGATTTTTCTTTTGAACATATTACAGTAAATTAGAGTTAGTTAATAGGAACTCAGAGCAACAACATTAATTTTAAAATTCTTACTTGACATCCTACTCAATACTAATATTTACCTCCAATATCTTTACACAATTGCAAAAGTCCTCTGAGCTTCAGTTGCTTATTTTAAAGATGGAAGCATTCTGCATTCCATAAAGCAAAAAGTGATTAACTCTTAGCTAAAAGTCAATATGTGAACTGAAATAGTAATTCACTGTCTGCATAAACTTAAACTTAAGCAAGTAGTGTTCATGTTTTTATGAAGAGGCTTCTTTGTTAACCAATTCTACTATAAAATTATCTTCAAAATTGTTTCATAGCACTAGATAACCTATTTGATATTCAATAAATGGAGTAAACAGAAGGCTTTGTATTAAGACCACTTTCAAAAACATGCTAATTTATCAGAACCTAGTCCCAGAATGGAGTCGTGCAAGGGAAATTTTGAATACTTGTGAGAAAACTCCAAGAAAACAAAACAAGAATCTTGTGACTTCCGTTTCTTAAAAAACACAGAATTGTTCTTCAGGTGTATTTCCAGGCTCCTCCTGGGTCGAGTGTGTAGGAGTGAGTTTACTTCTGCTGTTGTTATTCATATACCTCTATGGAAAGTCTGTTCTTGCCATGTGTGGCTTGGGATTGAACACCTTACTCATGCAATTCTACTTAACCCTCACAGTATAAATTGTTTGGTGCTCTGAATAAAGTTGGCTACTGCATGAGAATGTAGTCTGTCTCATTTTCAGGCTCCACTTTTCCAAATTCACACCAATAACTGGAGAGGCAGCGGTAATCCGTTCAGTAGTCATTTTTTTGAGGGTCAAAACTATCAGTTTGAAGTTTTAAGCAATGAGTTATACCAGAAATACAATTCTCCAGAAGACTGCCTTGAATACATAATTCTCACTCAGAAAAAAAACACTTGAGTCTTCCAGTCACACTGACAGTTTGTAGTGTGCCTGTTCATTCCAAGATCTGATTTTTTAATATCATAAATTGTCCTTCTGTGTCTTAAAATAATTTTTCTTGATGTGTAGAAATATGTATGGTACATCTATTTTTGCTCTGTATCCACTAGTACAAATAAAACACGTATCGTTGTTATCTGCTAGTTGCAGATGTTAGATAAACTGGTTCATCAAATAATAAGTTCATTAAGTATATGAAAAACAAATGCTTAAAGCCTTATGTATTGTTGCTTTGTTTTTTGATAAAACTTGGCACAATGTTGACTTTTGTGAAAATAGTAAATGCAGAAATAAGGGTATAGTAGACAGTAAGTAGCTTCTCACATCCTTTGCTTCAATTCATTAACTGTTTGTAATGGGCACCTAAAGTATATGGATGAAGTTCTTTTCAGAAGCAGTATGCTAATGTGTCAAATAGTTCAGAAAGTTCCAGTTATGTGAAGCATTTTTTTTTCTCAATGAAAAAATTAACCAGCAGGACCTTGGGGTTAAACCTATAGTTCCAGCTGCTCAGGTGGTTGTGGTAAAATCACTTGAAGACACACATCCAAAGTTAGTGAGGAAAATACAAGAGACTCCAACAAAATAGGAAGTTTATGACGTCAAAAAGATTTTCATAAATGTTAGTATTCTGAGAGCACAGTATTAGAAATTTGCATTCCAACATTGAAAAAATATTGATAAACACCAACATAATCAAGTATTTAATAATTATTACAAACAAACGCAGAGGCCAGAAAACAACCTTTGGTGCCAGGATCAGAAGAGCTCTGCACCCCCTCTGAGACAGCATCTGCTATAGGTCCACAGCTCCCCAACTAGGCTGACGGTTCCCATGTCTCTACATTCCCAGCAGTTGGTTAAAACTTACACCATTTTACATGACTCTTTCTTAAAACAATATGGTTCTGGGAAGCAAATTGATCTCTTTGTGCTTGCAAGGCAAGTGCTTTATCAGCTGAGTCATCCGCCAGCCCATAAAGTGGCCTTTAAAGTGATAAATATATGCAATTAAGGAATTTTGCAATGTTTGCTTTATATGAGTACAACATGAGACTTTAAAAATTAAGGTAATGCACCATCAATTTATGAGTGACAAATTAGAATAGAAAAAATGGTATGTGTATTCTACTCAGTTGATCATTTTGTTATGTTGTTAAAGCAACTGAAAGTTTATGTTTTACAACCATTATATGGTTGGCGTTAAGAGCAAAATGCAATACAGTGCAATATTAACTGCATCACAACACTATATTAAGCTGAAATTTAACCATAGATTAAGTCATGTATATATGAAAAGTATGTTCATAATTATACTATGTTGATCATCTTCTAGTTTTTAGGATTTGCTTTGAATTTATAATTTGCATAAATGACCATAATACATTATAAACCATAATGTAAAACAATAGCACAGCTTCCCTTGGAAATAAATTTAATAGTGGATATAATTCAATTTAAATAATGAATAATTTCTGAGTGCCTTTTCTTATTTTCTACATGATCTGTTGCTATCTTTATTTATAATATAAAAATTGATAATTTTTATAAATAAAAGTCATTTTGCCAGCATATTTTAGTCCAATCTTATTTTTCTTCTAAAAACAAGAATTTTAAACATATTTTCAAGTTTTTATTCCTCTGGGACAAATCTGTCAGTCTCATAAATTTAAAAAAAAAGATGTTTTCTTATGATGCAAAGACAACCTTTAGAAGTATTCTATGAACCTTTAGAACTTTCTATGAAGTTTAAAATATCACAATGAGTCAGCTTTAAAATCTTGCAACACCTATTAACACATGAAATAGATTTCTGAAAATGAAGCAGGAGAATGCTGCAACTTCCTAAAAGGATCCTTTCGTTTGAATTTTTTATTGATTTTAATTGAGCTATACATTTTTCTCTGCTCCCCTCACTTCTTCTCCTCTCTCTTTCTAACCTCTTATGGTCCCCATGCTCCCAATTTACTCAGGAGATCTTGTCTTTTTCTACTTTCCAAGTAGATTAGATCCATGTCTAGGTTCTCTGGGATTATAAATTATAGTAGGCTGGTTTTTCTTTGCTTTATGTCTAAAAGCCCCTTATGAGTGAGTACATATAATATTTGACTTTCTGGGTCTGGATTACCTCACTCAGTATGATGTTTTCTAGAGCCATCCACTTGTCTGCAAATTTTAAGATGTCATTATTTTTTCTGCCATATTGCATTCCATTATGTAAATGTACCACATTTTCCTTATCCATTCTTCAGTTGAGGGGTATTTAGGTTGTTTCCATGTTCTGGCTATGACAAAAAAAAATGCTGTGAACGTAGTTGAGAACAATGTTTTTGAATTCTTAATTACCTACATTAATCTTCCCATGGACATTATGATTCCCACTTCTCAGTATTAGAAAGATCATTATTAAGTTTCAGTGTACTTCAACATACATAAAATCTGAATAGAATACCATATTCTGGTCAACATAGTCATTGGTAAAAATAACATCTATGGGTCTATGGGTCTTTCCTTGTGACTTTTTTTTTTTTCCAACACAGGGTTTCTCTGTAGCTTTGGAACCTGTCCTGAGGAACTGTTGCCCTTTAAAGTCTCTTTAAATAGCTTTTCTGGGAAATTATGTCATAAAATTAACACTCAGTATTTTGGTGCTGGATTTCTTTTACTCAGATCTCTCAAAAAGAGAAATTTCCACAAGTTCCTGTAATCACAGTTTGTTTCCTGCACTTAAAAACAGATTATATGAAATGCAGGGGACTACTAGCTTTGCTGTTAAAACCCAAAAACAAAACCTAGTTCGAGGAAAAACTTCCTCCTTGATAGAGCTAGAGGTGAATGAGCCCTGGTTTTCATCTTAGAATATTTGAATGTTTCCTATATTTCAATCTCTTATCTGACTTTAATGGAATATACTTTGAGCCATTTTGTATTAATTTGGCATTGCCAACTGGTATCCTCTACACAAAATAATGTATTTTTCTTGGAAGAGACACAACATGAATTCAAAGACTGAAAATTGTGCCTACTAATCAATTTTGTTTTCCTTTCCTTACAGCACCTTCTTTAATAGGTATGATGAGGAAGGACTGGGCATCCCAAAACAGCCTTGCTCTATCGTGGCAAGCACCTGCTTTTACCAATGGAGCTATTCTGGACTACGAGATCAAGTACTATGAGAAAGTAGGTCTCATTCAGCACTTTCTAAAACTCTGAATTTGCATACATATATGCATAAGCATTTACATTATATATTGTTACAGTAGTTTAGATTAAAATCTGTTTTTCTTTGGCCTAATTCCATAATCACTGTATCTTTGACTCCTCTCTAACATCCCATCGTGCTCATAATATCTTCATTAGTTTATCTCGTTTTATGCCACATTAAAGTAGAGAGTGCCAGATGCTCATGTTTTTCAGGACCTACTCTAGGGAGGATTATAATATAGCGATAATTGATAACGTCTCTAACTTAGAGTTTTATTGTTCTAACATTGTCTAAAATGCTATCGAGAAGGAACAGGAAGACCAAATTCCTATGACATAAGTGAATGGGCAGCGTGAGCGTTTCAACAATAAGTTTCATATCACAGTCTACCATAATTGGAAGGGATAATTTAAAGGATAAATGAATTAAATGTCTTTATATTCAGGTCTTCCCATTTATTTTATAAAAAGCTAGTAAGACCAACTTTACTTTAAAAACAATCTAAATTTTACTTTGTTGTTCTGAATTATTCTCAATTATTATAATTTCCCAAATCATAAACATCCTTTACTTTATTAAATTTATAATTCTTCTTTGTGCTATTCCTTACCCCAATTATTTACCATTATGACCTTTTGGCATAACTATTGCAAGATCATTTCTGATATTCCTTGCATTAGTAATAACACTTTGAAAATATTTATGAAGACAGAATTATTATTTTAGTTAAGATAAAATTTGCATTTATTTTCTTGGGTTAAATATAGGAATAATATGACTTAGACTTCTAGAATTTATCAGAAACAAAGAGATTTTGAAACTTTCCCACTCAAGGTTTGCATTTTAATCTGATGAAGTAACTGAAATAACTGACCATAGATTCACAGGGGAAATGGCATACGTATTTATTACTATGCGTCTTTGTATAGGAGGTACAGGATGTTTAAAACTAAAAGACTACCCCAATGGTTGCATCTTAATTCATATCAGAAGGGAAACAATAGATATAGGTGATACAAAAAAGGTAGAAAATGGATTTTTCCATTGGATCCAAATAAGAGACAATGACTTCTGTCAGAGTTCCTCTGGGCTTTAAATGCTAACTTTTCTGTCTCATCTTCCATGATAAATGTTTATTATTCCTTGGTTAAAGACAGTTCAATGCAAGAGTTGGAGAACTAGTCTTTGGAAGATAAAGGATTTCCCTGTACTTGCTGACCCATTAGTGTTATCCACTGGAATCCCAAAGCAGTATATAGTGGGCTGTCGTTTTCTATGTCTGAAGGGGCAAATCATAAACACATTACAGTCTTCCCTAAAGAAATATAAGGTAGAAGTGGAAATGGAACCCATTCTATTGATGAACAAGTGTACTCTGAATCAAGGGAAGACACTTTATATCTATATGCTAGCTTTGCAAATGTTATAGCCTGAAGTATGTAGTCAAAGAAAATGTGTCTGTCTGTCTGTCTGTCTGTCTGCCCCACTGTTGAAACATATCTTCATGTACTCACAGTGCCTGCTTATCCAGAAAGCACCATGCACACATATATACAAAAAAAAAAATCAAATACAAAGCATTTGTTTCAGGAAAGTATTCTGTGTTATATTTTACACATATAAAAATCATTGGTGGGTTTTGTGGTCATTTACCTTTACTGATTTTGGGTTGGATATAACCTAACATTTGTTTCAGGAAAGTATTCTGTGTTATATTCTACACATATAAAAATCAGTGGTGGGTTTTGTGGTCATTTACCTTTATTGATTTTGGGTTGGATATAACCTAAAAATTTTCCAAATAAACCAAAGGCATAATCAGAAAAAAAGCATGTTTATTTAATTAAAAATCTGAAAACCACTGATTCTGAATTGTAGTAATTAACGTGATACCCATATTGACTTCATGGGTCTAAGTTTTACTTTGAAGTTGGAAAAGAAATTCTTTGGCGGGAAAAAACAGGTGTTTGTTTTTAAAAGTATGCTATTGGGCCAGAGATAATAGATTAAATATGCAGTTGGAACTAAAGATTTCTAAATTATGTTCTGATTTTGTCTCTTATTGTGCTGGGGGGGTGGTCAATACATCTCTTTTTTATTTAAAAGTCACATTTACCAAAATATACATGAATATACCAACTTTCTCGTGGTTGAAAATATTAATTATAAGCAAACTTAAAGTTAAAAATGCCAAATCAGTATTTAAAAATCAACACTTAGATAAGTCTTGGGAAAAGTCTTAGCCTGAAGCATGATGCAGAATACCAGAACAAGAACATAGGTAAGCAGCATGAACAAGTAAAATGTTATTCTTTCCATACATTCAAATAAGCAGGCAAACCATCAAATGTTAAAATAACATAATCCTGCAAATAAAGCTCAAAATAAGTGACAGTATTACATTTTTCTGTGTTATGACTTCACATTCTAAAATTACATTTCACATACCTGCATCTATAATACGGTTTTTCCTCTCAAGAAAACAATTTTGTAAATACTAACTGGGACAGATTACAGTAGAATTCCATAAAATTACATTTTTTTCATTAGTAGTAGCTTAAATATGGTTTAGTAAACCCACACACAGAGAAGCATAAACATTCCCCTATATTTAGAATGCAAATATTCCCCACATGTGTGCACTTGTGTGCAGTTATGCATGTATATGAGCAGTAGAAGATTAGTAGATGTCCAGGTCTGCTTCAGGCTTGGTTATTGGTAAGATTATGGAGAAAGTTAGACAGATTGGGCAGAGTGACAGAGGGAGAAAAAGAGAAAGGACTAGTAATATACACAGGTATGAATAGGCCTATGCATGGGCCCTAAGTAGTTTTAATATTTATTATTAGTAATTATTTGACCAAATGATACACTTGATGTAAAGCTTTTTGTGCAGATGATTAAGTGAAATGGTTTCTAGGGGAACTGGAAATGAAAGTTGGAGGCCAAAGAAGTAAATGGCAATCAAATTCATGTTGATGAAGTCACTCTCTGGAGTATAAACAACTTCTCAAAGAGCGTTCTCTGCAAACAAAGAAGGAGGGCTTCCTTAGATGGTTCCAATTGATCTTTCGTTACAGAGTTTAGTGGAATCATATGGGTGACTAGAAAAAAATAATTAGAAAGTATGTTAGTTCTCTTCTGGTAGCTTTAGTTCCCCAAGTTTAGATTCATAGAAAAAAAAAAGTGCAAATCTAAGCCATTAAAAAAAAAATAGATGGGAAGAACTGGAAGTAAAATTGATTTGGGTGATCTGTTGGGATGCAAACTATTGAATAACATATAAAAGTGGTCAAATAGCTGTTGGAAAACACATCCATGACTCTTTTATTAACATGCAGGTTTCTTTTGGGTTTTAGTACCCATACAAGTGCCATGACATTTAGATTACACATTTCACTCAAAATTGTAGAGGGTATCTCTGACTCCTTTGCCTCTGCTTGGAACCCCTTTCCTCTACTGGGTTGCCACAACCTGCCATGATATGAGCGTACATACCAGATCTTGCTGTATTTTGTTAGTCCATACTTGATGGATAACTCTGGGAGGCCTACTCTTTCTTCTTTCTTTATTTCTTTTTTTTAAAGGGAAACACAGGAGGAGTTGACGTGGAGGAGAGGGGAGGAAGAGGGAGGGAATGGGAGGAGTGGAAAGGAGGGGATATGATATATGAGATTAAAAAAAGATACAGTAAAGTATCTGTGGATCTATAAATTGGTCTACAAAGCAGCAATATTTTGATCATTTTATGAGGGATTTGGAATGCTTTGTTATCTTCTGGCTGTTTAACATACATTCTCCTATAAATAAGAAAAAAATTAGTCTTCTTAGGAAAAAAAAGTATTCACAAACACCTGAAGTTAAACAACACATAGTCGCTATCCGTCAGCGTCCTTTCTCACAGATAGTGACTTAACAAAAAGAAGCATTGGACACTGGGTACAAGGATTGGATTGAATCTCAGAATTTAGCTACTTTTACTTCACTATTAACCTTTTGGTAATCAAAACCCAAGCCTTATATATATTATGCAAGAAACATACCACAGTACACCTCCAGCACCAGGCCTTAATCTTGTTTCTCTGTTTGTTGTTGTTCACATATAAAGTAGAGGTTGATAAAGTAATTCCTTATAGTCTGAGATAATTCTAAAAGAAAAAAATAGAAGTAAAAACTAAGATGTGGCTACCAAAAACAGACAGACAGACAGACAGACAGACATACAGATAGATAGGTAGGTAGATAGATAGATAGATAGATAGATAGATAGATAGATAGATAGATAGATGGATGATAGATAGATAGATGATACATAAAGACAGATACATAGATAGAAAGAAATGGTGATTGAGGATGGATAGACACAGACAGAAATAGATATCACTGTCTCTTTCTGGGTGTGGTGTGTGTTTATATGTCTATGTATGCATGCTTATTTGCATTCTGAGAGTAAAATATGGGAAATTAAACATATTTCTTTTTTGGTTGTAAGTAGTGAATTAATTATGCATCCCAAGTTTTTTTTTAATTTCTATAATCCAAAAGTATTTGATTTTCATTTATTTTAAATTCACTGCCTCAATATGAAAAGAACATTATGAAGATTATCAAAGTTCAACTTTTTAATTTTCTGTTTTATGTATCTTCCATCCAAAATTAGGCTTTATTGTGAGTGTCTTGTCAATAAAACCTTTATATTATCTGCTCCTATCATCTCAGTCTTCACCTGAAAATGATGCAAAAAGTCGCAAGAAATCACATTCTCTATTCCATACTATACGAACCATTCTTTTATTAGACAATTTTATGTCACTATAGCAAATACTTGAGGCTAAGCATTTTATAGAAGCCAAAAACTTACTTCTAGGAATAAAAAAGCTTGAGATCTAGTTCTCAGAATGTTCAAGAGAGAGAGAGAGAGAGAGAGAGAGAGAGAGAGAGAGAGAGAGAGAGAGAGAGAGAGAGAATTGAGGTA